TTCAAAATCTAATTTCAAATCCATCTGGACCCTTAGTCGGTTTATACCTTTCCAGAAACAACACTCTAATGATTCTTTTGCTGTTTATTCCCCCAAAAAGAATTGTTCTAAGTTTTTAAACTCATACTGTACTTAAAATTTCTTTTACTAACGATTGAAGGAAACTCACCCAGTGAATGCCATGAAACTTGCAGTTCCAAAGGTTCTTAATATTTGAAAAGCAATAAAAAATTAATTTCAAAAGTGATGAAGAAATAAGGCCTGGCCAAACTTTATGTCCATATAGGCTATATTAAAGGCCAGATCTTTTCAAATAACCTGATTAAACTGGCACTTTAGGATGTAAAAGGAGCCATGAGAGCCAGTTTGGTGTAGTGGTTAAGGTGTCAAACTAAAAACCTAGGAGACTGTGAGTTCTAGTTCTGCCTTAGGCATGAAGCTAGCTGGGTGACCTTGGGCTAGTCATTTCTCTCAGACTTAGGAAAGAGGCAAGGGCAAGTCACTTCTGAAAATCTTGCCAAGAAAATTGCAGGAGGTAGCCATCAGGTGTCAAAACTGACTTAAAGGCACACGTTTGAATTTTTGAAAAGCCACAGGTTCTAAATCTGGAATATGCTTCAACATTTATTGTTGTTTCTCCTATATTTCAGCCTTCTCTCTCCCCAATATAACCTTACAATCCCCCCCCCCCATGCATGTGGTTTCTATATGTACCAAATTGCTTGGGCCTTAGAGATAGCATAAGTAGAAATGGTGTTACAACCACCACCAACCCTTCTGCTTTGATTTCTACCAGGGAAGGACTTTTCAGTTGAGAAAGGATTAAGTTTTTGGTGGTGTTATTTTTCACACAAAGCCACCTGCAGTCTTGCGCAGCAGGAAGGAATGCTTTTTGAACCAGCTAGTCATGGTGCCGTGACTTTCTGCTTCTCTCGCAACTGTAGTGTTACAGATATATGTTTATGCAATGTATATAAACATAAGTTAGAATATATAAATTTATGTGTTGCACTAGAGCAGGCTTTCTCAGCCGGGGTTCCATGGAACTCTAGGGTTCTGCAAGAGGTCACTAGGGGTTCCCCGGGAAATCATGATTTATTTAAAAAAAAAAGCGGAGACAAAAAATGAACAAAAACCCTCCAACCTCCAACATTGGATTGGCCCGCTGAAGCGCGCATGGACCCCAGACGGGGGCAAGGATTGGAGGAGAGGAGGGAGGACCAGCAGTGGTGAGACAGCACGTGTACGAGAGAGACACTGCCAGGGCCTCTGTGCTGGGGCTCTCCTTGCTGGCAAGTGCCTGCCTTTCTGCAGGCACAGCCACCCAGGGGGCTCTGTCTCAGGGCGAGTGCATGAGATCCAGGGCTGGGCTGGCCAGGCACCAGTGGCAGCAGGACCCACCCACAAAGGCAGGGCGGGGGAAGGAGGCGGGGAAAAGGAAAAAAATGGTGGTGGTGGTGGTGGTGAAAGCTTTGGCATCAGGGTGCCAAGATTTCAGGAGAGGTTGAGGAGTTCAAATATTAAGAGGAGAGGTGTTGGAGGTTGCAAGGCATCAGCCCCCTCTAGTTTTGCAAAGGGGTCCTTGGGAGAGGAAGTGGAAAGTGGGGGGGGGGGGGGGGGGGAAGATGGACTTAGGAACAAGGTGCTGGTGATGCAGGGAGAGGGGAGGAGGTTGGCCGACGCAACTCAGTGTGCCAGCATCATCTGCATCCCTGTGATGCATTTTGCAGTTATCATTCATATCATGCAGTTTGATATATTGCTCAAAAACTACATGCCCTTAAAAGTAGCCCAAAATAGCCCAAAAAAACACAACCTGCAAAGGCCAAAAATTTCCCACAAGTGATCTCCAAAACTCAAGTTCGGCCCAGAATTGAATATTTGGGCAGCAAAAAACAAGCACGGGTTTCACATTAAAGTGGTGTTTTAGTTTAATAACAGTTAATGCTTATATACAGGCCTACACATGAAACAAATATAACAATTTTGTAACTTCTGGCCTTATTTGAGCCTGCATGTGCAGGGATTCTGAGGCCTGAAAAATACTTCAAGGGTTCCTCCAGGGTCAAAAGGCTGAGAAAGGCTGCACTACAGCATGTTACTAAATAATGGACTGCATTTCCTCAATGTGTGTATCTAGAGTATTAATTGCCCTCGGAATAAAACAATGACACTCAGAAATTAAAAAAAAAAGTACTGCAGCATATATCATGGCCCTGCTCCCCACAAACTAGGATCTAAGGGATCTTCACTTTAGGCTAAACAGAACAAGTGAGTAGCTATCCCAACAAGACAGCTATTAAGAGTGGCTGTCATTTATTTCGGGGCTGCAGACTGGGAAAAAGGATGGGGCACTGTGTCCCATACCTTGGCTACCTCTGGAATAAAAGACTATGAAATAACATGTTAATTTTAGGAAAGCTTTGCCTGCTCACGTTTATGTCTTCAAATCAGTTGGGATTAATATTCAACTTAATACTGTTTTCTCATGATCCAATACCCCATTGTTTATTTACCTACCGTTTAACTGGTTAATTGTATTAAACCAGTTAGGAGCGGGCATCCTGCTCAATATAAACTGACCAGTCTAAGTTTGCACATCCCTCTGAGGCCCCGATGTAGCCCATCGACTTTTAGTCTGGCGCCCTGTTGGAGTACAGCCGTTCTCACACTAGGAGTCGTGCCTCGCCTCCCCGTAATCTCCGATTCCTACCTGTTGCAGGGACAATTTAAAGGGAACTACAGTACTATGCACAGAAATCCCGGCGTTAAGAGGACTCTTCCCCATTCAACAAGCTGCCTTCGTAGACTTCTCCAAACCGAAGGAAGCCAAAGCAAGCCACGTGGTGACTGACTGACTTGTTTAAAACATTTTTCGGCAAATCCCCCCCCCCATTACGATGCAACTCCGCATTGCACGCCCTTGGAGACAAGAGAGACTGGAGCGGTCGGGGAATGCCCGCGCAGCTCAGCCGACTTGCATCCTTTTCTTCTCAGTGATTAAGCTATCTGAAACGCGGTCAGTTCTGAACTCGATGCCTGTAGACTTCCTGCAGAGAGGGAAATGGAGCGGAAAGTTTTGCACTTCGCTCCAGTCGCCCGTATTTTAGGGCAGGAGGGGGACTCAACTAGGCTCTACCAGCGCTCGCATTTTCCCATCCTCGGAGCAAGGCCGACGGTAGCCAAGCGACTGCGCATGCTCTGCCCAGGAACCATAGCACGTTTTTTCCTTCTTATAGCCTTTGCATTATCCAGACTTCTTCACTGCGCAGTTTCCATCAGCTGTCGGGGTTTAAGGGAAAAAGGAGGAAAAAGAAAAAAAAAAAAACGCGGTCGGGAGCGCAAAACATGCCCAGCAATCCTCGGTTTAAAAAACTTGAGCTGGACCAAAACCAGCCGCGGCCCGCTTGGTGCTTCCCTCTCTCGCTCGCCGTTCCGTGACGTCAGCGGAGACTCCGCCCAATCCAAGCCGGCCTCTGCTCCGGAGACCGGGAGGGCGGAGCTTGGAGGAACACCGGAGTCGCGCAGTGCCCGTGTTGAGGCGGCATCAGCTGAGGACGGAGCGGCGGGAGGGGGAGGGAAAACTTGGGGGCAGGCGGGCAGGC